TCTCTCGAGACTGGCCTCTGAATTTAACCGAACAGTCACTTCGGTGCCCTGAAGCGGATAACCGGCAGGGAACGACCCACTTGACTGTTCCATGACCCTCCTCGGAGGATCGTTTGGGAACGCTGACACCTCGGTGCCCTGAAACGGATAAACGGCAGGGAACAACCGAACTGACAGCGGTGCGACTCCCCTCGGAGAGTGGCCCCCCAGAGGGCGCCGAGGAAAAACGATTTCTCGAAACCGTTTCTCCCCGGAGGGGCCACCCTCAGAAGCCTGATAGCCTCGGCGTCAGGGCTTCTTCTTTGTCCAAGCTATTTTCGAAATAAAACAGTCCTCAGATCTTGCATTTCTCTAACTGGCTAGACTGCGACCGCCACCCAGGTCCCCCTCAATTGTGGAGGAGCCCAAATGGCGACGCTCTCTTTTGCACTCTGTGCTGCGAGGAGCTTAGTAGGCCGAGACTGCTCTCGCCCAGCAGTCTCAGGAACATTAGATTGGTGAGGAAGAAAACTCTGGAACGCCGCTGAATGGTTTATTTCTTAGTTTTTTTTAAAGCGGAGCGTCCAGAAGAACAGATATATTTTTATCTTTATTTTCCTTTATTTTTATATCAGAAAAATGTATATATATATATATATATATATATATATATATATATATATCGGTTGTTTTCCTGCTGGTGGCCACGGAGTGATATATATATATATATATATATATATATATATATATCACTCCGTGGCCACCAGCAGGAAAACAACCGAACTGGCAGCGCTGCGACCCTCCTCAGAGAGTCGCCCCTCCAGAGGACGCAGAGGAGAAACGATTTCTCGAAACCGTCCCTCCCCGGTATAGTTTATCTGTTTTTGCACGATGCAATTCTTGAATAGCGTCAGTGCTGACATCCTCACATTCATTCATGTCCTATATACTTTACCCATCAGCGCTGCCTAATAAAACGTATTTATTATTTAAGATGGCTGGTGGGTCACGTCGGGGTTAATAATGATGATGCCGACTCAGAAGAGAGAAAGCTCGCAAGTGTCTCTTTAACCCGAGGCACTGTCATACCATGATACTTAATACCTATAACATTACTATAGTTAGACGTTTGGGGATTAAACACATAAAATAGAAACCGGTTTATTCCACGATCTCGACACCTCAGGGAAAAAACGGCAGTCCTCGACGAGGAGGCTGAGATACAGAGTTTTCCTGTTTTCTTAGATATATTTCATCTAATAAACTCTTTTTATTTTCACTCTCATAATGTTCAGTTGGTCAGTAAATATTAACTGGCAACAGCATTAGATAAAACCTCCTTTTAAAAGCTCCTCTTTATTCAGCAGAGTTATGAGCTGACTTATTTATTTATTAATTGAAAACTCAAACATTTGCCTTATTCTTAATATCTATATTTGTTTTGTTCTCTTTTTCTTAACAAAACACTAACGATACCAATTCCTCGGAACTGAAATCGCAGCACACTGGATCTGGCAGGTGAAAGCTGAGATAGGGCGGCGCCCGTCCCAGCCCACACTGCCAGATCCGTTTGCGAACCCCGAAATGCGAGTCGCCGCCGTGCCTCGGCAACAGCGGGACCCGCGCGGGGAACGCGAACCAAACCGTCCTCCTCGAAGAACGCCCGGCGGGAGCGGAATGTCCTCACGGACAGCTTCTCGCAATGCTCACAGTCAGCCCCCTCGAGAACTGACTGTTGGCATGCTCCACTCCCAAACAGCAACACAAAGCTGATGTGTGTGTCCCCACCCGTGATATAACGTGGGCAGGGAACAACACAAAGCTTGCTTGCTCTCTTTTGCCATAATATATATATATATATATATATATATATATATTGCAACTTGACAGACAACAATAAATATGACAAGGACAGAATACACAGATCGCTTGCTGAAGGCGCAGAAGCTGACGCGGTCTGTTTTCAGGGGTGCTTTATAGCTTCCTGGTCGATGACGTCACCCGCCTATGACGTCTCGTCTTTCCATTGGACTGATTATACACTTGCTTCACGACGCAATCACGCAGGGCGTTTCCACCGCGTCTCGATGCAGCTCGAGTTCCCTTGAAAGGGAACTATGCTTCTTACTACAAGTTTGTTGCTATTTGTGAATTTTTGTTGGAACTAAGATTTCAAGAAACAATTATTTGAAGTATGTTGATAACTAATGGAACATGTGACCATAGTTGACAAATAATGCATTTGGGATACACACCCATAGACAACTAGTTAAACAACTACTTATCAGTTTTGTGGTCTGGAAGTGCTCTGTCAAGCTGCTGTCAATTAAATAGATCATGTGCTTAGGAACAATAAGAAAGCTAACATGCAGTTCATTCTATATCTTTAATTCCACTTTAATATACAGTACATTTCAATCTATATATTTTATAGCAGAGGTTACATGCAAAAGTACAGTGCATGTAAAAGTACAACAAAATTGAAAATACCTTAGCAAGCACCGCCAATGATAATAATTTGCAAGCAAGGTTAGTTTTCATGGCTACACAAAAGAGTGGATTCCAAAAAAAAGTTTTTATTTAGAGGGAGGGTGTACTAGCTTTCCATTCTGTAGCAACATGGAATGTGTACATGCATGTTGTGCTCTTTGATTCATACACAAAACTAGACAGGACAAATGACAAGCTCCATCAATCAAACCAGAGTTTTGGTACCTAGAGTGAAACATATCTGGGATTTAGTGGAAGTTAAGCATCTCTCTGATGTGGATTTTCAGACTGCAGAGCTGACAGACCGTTTATGACCTTTGCTTGGAATTCCATCTTACTCCAGTGAGACCTACTTTCCTGCATTGAGACAACTCAGTGGAACACTCCACGAGAGGTGGAAAAAATATACTTGCCCTAAAAAACATCTCTCAAAGCCAAACAGAGTCAACTTTATAGAGTTAGGGGAGTGTTAACGTATAATACCTTCTCCTCAGTTGGCAAAAGCTTGAATTGACTACATAAATAGTAGGTCCCTAACCACAAGTGGAAGTGTAGAGCTGCTATTTACCCTCTTCATCAGTGCCACATGGCACAACTGACACTTTGACGGATGGTGCAACAAGCACAATGAATTGGATTGTTTCACATGAGAGTAGGCCAGTAAACCAGTCGCATCACTTTTATCAAGCTGACAGTGTAGATAGATTGGACCACAACATCCCTGGCACCCAGTTTCTGGAGACTCAACGAATGGCTCAGCACACTCAGCTTTGATGGAGATACTTTCTGTTCATGCTGGTAAGCAAAAGTCTGGAGAATCAGTCCGTTTTGAGCAAGCCCACACAGAATGTGTCTACAATTTTTTTTTTAAATGGTCATCACTTGTAACTAAGGCTGTGCAATGTTCAAAACAATGCATTGTGCATTCATACCTTTAAAGAAACCTTGCACTTGCAGAATCATTTACTTAAATAAGTAATTTAAAAAACTACAATCTAATTAATTTAAATCGTCTGTCCTGCTGTAATGGTCACCAGCTGGAGTACCCTTGAGAGCCACCAGAGGGCATTCCCAGTTCTAGTTTATGCATGCGCATACAAAGAAAGCAGCTCCTGAAGACAAAAAAGCTGATGATGTGTCTTCCAGGGACCCTGTTATTCTCACGGGTGCTTTGTTACACATATTCAGATACTGGTCACGATACTGGTTCCCCCATAGCATCGTTATCAGTTGCAGTGTTAAAGTTCCACTTTAAAAGGAAAATTCCTTTGCAGTATTTCTTGCCTGGTTTACCATAAAATGCAAAACAAAGGATTGATCACTGAATGTACTTAAAGCAGCACTCAGTAAGAATTCCGTTTTTGTCAAACAGCGACCCCTAGAGTCGCTGTGGAGCACTTGTACTGTCGTGAATAGCACTCACGCAGACAGGCTCGCACTCACGGCCGGATCCCCTCCCCTGTACACTGGTAGCTGTTCAGTAGGATGGACGCTGTAATGAGTGGAAATAAGGTATGGCCCCTTTAAGAGCTGCGCGCGCCCAACACCACATGTATACGGCGCCGGGTTATTTCTGTTTGATGCTCATTTTATCAGATCTGTTTTTTGCCGTAAAGCAATTCGTTACCTCGCGAGACCTGAATCACACGATACTTCCTAACACTCAGGCCGGCGGCTCGCCGGCCCAAAGTTGCAAGGGTGGTTTTGCGGCTCACAGGCACCAAGGGGGTGCGAGACGACCACCATTCAACACGAAATCAGTAATATAAACATTACAATGACTCCAAAGCTGTTCGGTTAAGGTAAAAAAGTTACTTAGTTCACCTTTAAATGTCCATTAACCCTATATTTTGGATACAGGTTCTCAAGACAGCTAGGGGCCTGAAATAAAAAGATCATCTGATTAATTTTGGAATAGTAATGCTTTTAAGTTTGTCATTTTGAACAGGTGATTTTAGTTTCATGAACAAATTATATTATGTTTATGTATATTGTATCCAAGCAACTGGATAAATGTGTTAAGGGTTTTGAAAAGAAATTTCATTTTGACCATCGGTTGTGAGTTTTGTGTCAAAAGTTTTGAAAAATCTGATTGAAAAAGGTTTTGTTAGTAGTGCCAAAGTGATTGTAAAAAATGGGTTATAAGTACACGATTGTTCGCTCATGTAAATGAATACAACTTGAAATGTTAAAATGTATGTTGAAATTAACATCTAATTAACATCTAAGTTGAAATTAATTACATCACATTTTAAATGAATAATCAATTTAGTGTACTTCAATTTTATGGACCATTGTAGAAGGAAACATATTTACCACAGAATAATTTACCTCAGTCTCAACATGGAGCACAACATAACATATAAGTCATTAAACAGAACGCCTGATTCTACTGTTGACTGTTAAATTTCTTTGTACAAAAATCATTCCACCAGTCATTTAAATTCAAATTCACTTACAAATACAATCCTTAGGTTCTGAACTTCAGATTTTTTGCCCAACCTTGGGGTTCCTGGTTTCTTTATGCTCACCTGTTTATTCATGAAGATGTATATGATGGGATTTATGACAGTGCTGGACTTCGCTAAGATGGAGGGCACTATGCTTGCCTCCACAGTCACCAGTCCAGGGGCTCCAAAAGTGGCCAGCAGAGCCATGATCCCATAGGGCAGCCAGCAGAGTAGATAGAAGATCACCATGGTGATCACCATGAGAAGAACCCGGTGCTCTCGTTTGCGGCTCAAAGTCGTGTTCACACTGCTGACCTTCATGGAGATAAAGAGACTGATCATCAGTAACATTGTTAATTAATAATAATATCAGTAAAATAGATCTAAAAAATTATCCACAGTATAGTAGGTTTAACTGTTTATTATAGGTTGATAATATAACAGTGAATATCAAAATAGTATATACTATTCACATTTTTTAAATCATCAATATCTGGTATAGCAACAATACATTTTGGCTGAAAAAGAATCTGTTAAGCTAATTAGTCATGGTCAAGTGGTTAGGTGATGGATATTAAGTCCATTCTCCATTTCTCGGTAATGGCTAGAACACTGCTGACTAAGAAATCTTCCTTTCAACTGAATTGCCCCAGGAGGATCAATAAAGTATTAATCAAGAGCAAATCAGTATCCTCCCCTGAAACTGCTCAACAACTGTAGATGGGATGCTAAAGGTTTAGGGACTTCATATGCCAAGGGAACCACAAGTAATTTTACTTTTCAACAAGGTAATTAAAGATTTCTTCTCTCAAGTTCTCTCATTGGTACAGTTGTCAGCTTCACCATTTATAGATTTCTGCAGTGATGATGCATTTTTGTAGGCCAAAAGCTAGGAACCAGTTAAAGGTGTTTTTGGATGGGATCTTGGTTAAAAGCCTGAAGTAAGGTGTCATGATTCTGCCCTCGTGTCCTTGATTTTCTCTAGTCTTGAGGCAGGATCATGACAGAATCATGTTTTGTGTGCAAGGACATGGTCTTGTGTTTTCAGCCATGTGCTTGTGTTGTCTCGTTACGTTACCCCGCCCCCTTGTTATCCTCGTCTCGTCATTATTGTCTAGTCAGTTTCACCTGTCCTTGTCTAGTCAGCTTCACCTGTCTTTGTCATTAGTGTTCCCCTATTTCATCCCCTTGTGTTTGCTGTCCTGTGCCGGTTTATTGTGTCACACTTTGTGAGAGTCTACCTGTGAGTACCTTGTCTTTGAAGAATGTCTTGATCTTGTGTTTGCTGTTTAATAGTCTAGTGTTTGTCAAGTGTTATCTAGTTTAGTTATCCCTCGTTTGTATTGCCTCTGTTTTGCCCCCTCGTGGGCTTTATTTTCCCCTGTTTTTCTGTTATAAATAACGTTGTGTAATTGTCTACCGTCTGCGTTTGGGTTCTTCTGCTATCATCTTAACAGAATGAACCGGCCAACAAAGAACCCAGCAGACAGTATGACCTCCCAACTCCAGTTCCAAACGGAGTTCCGTGAGCGATGCTGGTTGTCCGCACCAACCAATGGAGAACGGGTCGTTTGCCCTATCCCGTCCCAGGGTGAGCAGATCATGAGGGATTATGCCCGCCTCTGGGATCTTTTTTCCCGGGAGGTTCCGCAGGCTTCTTCCTCGGGCTCTCCACCTTCTGCCTGCCTGCCAGCTATTCCCGAGGGTCGAATGATAGGCGTCGTGACGCTCGGGGATCAGGCTGGCGCCCTCACGACTCCTGGCACTTCATCTACCCCCTTCCGTCTTCGAGGGAGAAGAGGGAGGCGAACCTCGTGGGACTCTCCTTCAGAGTCCTCAGCGTCGGAGTCAATCCTGCCAGAGATAACCCCTCCTTCGCACGACACAGTCGCCGCCGTGCTTCCCCAACCCGTCTCAGCTCCGGCGATGGTCTCTGCTTCTCGACCTAGGAGAAAGAGGAGGAAGAGGGGAGCCTCCCGTTCTTCAAGCGCCATCCCAGATCCCACTCCAGCGAGTGCAGTCACAGAGCCCGCTGCAGTCACAGAGCCCGCTGCAGTCACAGAGCCCGCTGCAGTCACAGAGCCCGCTGCAGTCACAGAGCCCGCTGCAGTCACAGAGCCCGCTGCAGTCACAGAGCCCGCTGCAGTCACAGAGCCCGCTGCAGTCACAGAGCCCGCTGCAGTCACAGAGCCCGCTGCAGTCACAGAGCCCGCTGCAGTCACAGAGCCCGCTGCAGACACAGAGCCCGCTGCAGTCACAGAGCCCGCTGCAGTCACAGAGCCCGCTGCAGTCACAGAGCCCGCTGCAGTCACAGAGCCCGCTGCAGTCACAGAGCCCGCTGCAGTCACAGAGCCCGCTGCAGTCACAGAGCCCGCTGCAGTCACAGAGCCCGCTGCAGTCACAGAGCCCGCTGCAGTCACAGAGCCCGCTGCAGTCACAGAGCCCGCTGCAGTCACAGAGCCCGCTGCAGTCACAGAGCCCGCTGCAGTCACAGAGCCCGCTGCAGTCACAGAGCCCGCTGCAGTCACAGAGCCCGCTGCAGTCACAGAGCCCGCTGCAGTCACAGAGCCCGCTGCAGTCACAGAGCCCGCTGCAGTCACAGAGCCCGCTGCAGTCACAGAGCCCGCTGCAGTCACAGAGCCCGCTGCAGTCACAGAGCCCGCTGCAGTCACAGAGCCCGCTGCAGTCACAGAGCCCGCTGCAGTCACAGAGCCCGCTGCAGTCACAGAGCCCGCTGCAGTCACAGAGCCCGCTGCAGTCACAGAGCCCGCTGCAGTCACAGAGCCCGCTGCAGTCACAGAGCCCGCTGCAGTCACAGAGCCCGCTGCAGTCACAGAGCCCGCTGCAGTCACAGAGCCCGCTGCAGTCACAGAGCCCGCTGCAGTCACAGAGCCCGCTGCAGTCACAGAGCCCGCTGCAGTCACAGAGCCCGCTGCAGTCACAGAGCCCGCTGCAGTCACAGAGCCCGCTGCAGTCACAGAGCCCGCTGCAGTCACAGAGCCCGCTGCAGTCACAGAGCCCGCTGCAGTCACAGAGCCCGCTGCAGTCACAGAGCCCGCTGCAGTCACAGAGCCCGCTGCAGTCACAGAGCCCGCTGCAGTCACAGAGCCCGCTGCAGTCACAGAGCCCGCTGCAGTCACAGAGCCCGCTGCAGTCACAGAGCCCGCTGCAGTCACAGAGCCCGCTGCAGTCACAGAGCCCGCTGCAGTCACAGAGCCCGCTGCAGTCACAGAGCCCGCTGCAGTCACAGAGCCCGCTGCAGTCACAGAGCCCGCTGCAGTCACAGAGCCCGCTGCAGTCACAGAGCCCGCTGCAGTCACAGAGCCCGCTGCAGTCACAGAGCCCGCTGCAGTCACAGAGCCCGCTGCAGTCACAGAGCCCGCTGCAGTCACAGAGCCCGCTGCAGTCACAGAGCCCGCTGCAGTCACAGAGCCCGCTGCAGTCACAGAGCCCGCTGCAGTCACAGAGCCCGCTGCAGTCACAGAGCCCGCTGCAGTCACAGAGCCCGCTGCAGTCACAGAGCCCGCTGCAGTCACAGAGCCCGCTGCAGTCACAGAGCCCGCTGCAGTCACAGAGCCCGCTGCAGTCACAGAGCCCGCTGCAGTCACAGAGCCCGCTGCAGTCACAGGGCCCGCTGCAGTCACAGGGCCCGCTGCAGTCACAGAGCCCGCTGCAGTCACAGAGCCCGCCGCTGTGAAGGCGGTCCCAGCACCCGCTGCTGAGAGAACAGTTCCTGAGCTAACTTCTGAGAGAGCTGTTTCCGAGCTCGCTGCTCCAGCTCCTGAGAGTACTGCACAGGAGAGCGCTTCCGAGTTTAATATGAGCACTACATCTGAGTCTGAGTCGATTACTTCTCACCCTGTCTCCTGTCCTGTGCTGTCTCCTTCCCTGTCCCAGTCAAGTTCCCCCAGCGCTTCTCCACGTGTCACCCTGTCTCAGTCTGGTTCCCCTATGGCTTCTCCTCGAGTGCCTCCACCCAAGTCCGCCCGGAATCCTCGTCCCAAGCCCTCATCCCGTGGACCTAAGACCCCCAGCACACCCATCCACCCTGGACCACCCCCCATGAACTCTGTGTTTCCTCCGCCACCTCTTCCTTGTTTATTATTTTTAATGTTTCATCCTAACCCTGTTGTTGTGTTTTCGTGTTTGCCGTTACTGTTATTTGTCATGTTTTGTTGGTTTGTGTCTGTTTCCCAGTCTGTCATGTCTCGTGTTTGATGTCCTCTTTTGGAGCGTCTGGTAGCCGCTCCTTAAGGTGGGGGTTCTGTCATGATTCTGCCCTCGTGTCCTTGATTTTCTCTAGTCTTGAGGCAGGATCATGACAGAATCATGTTTTGTGTGCAAGGACATGGTCTTGTGTTTTCAGCCATGTGCTTGTGTTGTCTCGTTACGTTACCCCGCCCCCTTGTTATCCTCGTCTCGTCATTATTGTCTAGTCAGTTTCACCTGTCCTTGTCTAGTCAGCTTCACCTGTCTTTGTCATTAGTGTTCCCCTATTTCATCCCCTTGTGTTTGCTGTCCTGTGCCGGTTTATTGTGTCACACTTTGTGAGAGTCTACCTGTGAGTACCTTGTCTTTGAAGAATGTCTTGATCTTGTGTTTGCTGTTTAATAGTCTAGTGTTTGTCAAGTGTTATCTAGTTTAGTTATCCCTCGTTTGTATTGCCTCTGTTTTGCCCCCTCGTGGGCTTTATTTTCCCCTGTTTTTCTGTTATAAATAACGTTGTGTAATTGTCTACCGTCTGCGTTTGGGTTCTTCTGCTATCATCTTAACATAAGGTCTGTGGTTAACAAGCTCAAGATATTATCACATGTTATTCTACAACATAAAATACATCATTAATACCCCTTGTGATTTTTTTTTTAAAGCTGTTACTTGTCTTGAAAAAGGCTATTGCTACATATGGGGGCTCGTCCGCTTTTTTTCCCCCCTAGAGGCACATGGAATGGTAATTAGTGAAGAGAATCAGGTGCGCTCGTAGTAAGTGGAGCAGTTTGTTCGTGTTTGGCTTCGGACAGGTGGCTCATCATTTATTTGTTATGCTCCCCGGGTAGGCTGTAATTTTATTTTATTTGTTTGTTGGTGTATTCCTCGGTTGAGTGCACGGCAGGTCTGGACCGATAGTTCAGCTCTGCACCAGCTGTATTAGATGCTTAAAGAGGCTCGACCGAAAGGAAGACCAGGAAGAATTAGGGTTCAGTTAGTTTGTTGGGCATGTGGGATAGTCAGGGGGATATTTGATTGTGAGTGTAAATGACGTGATTTTATTTGTCAGTCACTGTGTTAGTTTGAAAATTATTTGATTGGGTTATGTA